AGCACGATGGGCTTACCCACCTACGAGGCTCTAACTTTGGAGTTCTTGAGCTCCTACTTCTACATCACTCCCATTGACGCTGATGCAAATCTTTTTTGAGCAGCCACATTTCGTATGTTCAACCAGGAATACATGGTGAACCAGGATTCTTTGAGCGACATGTTTCATTTCCCTTGTGAAGACAATGTGCAATACCGAATTCCCCCTGAATTGGATTGGAATATAACGTCATATGAATTATGGGAGAGAATATCTGGTGAGCATAATGTCGCCCCTGAAGCGCGTTACTCCTCTCACATCCATAATCCGAACATTCGCTACCTTCATCGCACCCTGGCCAGCACTATTTTTGGAAGAACCAACAACAACAAGGTCAACACCAAGGAGTTGTATGCTCTCCATTACGTCTTGACGCTAAACCTCCGTCTGAACCCAAGCACCTTCCTGATGGCTCATATTCAAAATCTTGTAACAAGAGACTGGACTGTGCCTTTCTGTATTGGAGGTATCGTCACTGCAATAGCAGTTCACCTGAACCTGGGAGGGAGAGTCTTAAATCTACCCTCTCTGCCAGCAGTGTTCTTGGACATTAACAACTGTCGATCTGGTCGCCTTATTAAGGTAAGAGAAGCAGGAGGGTATTATCTTATGGTGAGGAATAATGAAGTTTGTAGTGTCATTTTTCCAAATCCAAATACTATGAACTTAAGCATTGCTAAGAACTGTTATACAACCTCAACGCCCCCGAGCCTGGTGTCAATGCACAAGGAAACCAAGGTGAAGCCAATAATGATGATGTCGATGAAATGGAACAGGAATTAGAACATCAAGCACCTCAACCTGACATTCAACCTCCCGAAGCCCAAGAGCCACAAAATGTCAATCCACCTGCCATACTCGATGCCATCTATGCTGCAATGCTGTAGCATAATCAATTGTCTAACCAGCGCTACCAGAGCATCAATACCCGTCAAGAGGAAATGATGCATCTCATACAACAGATGCAAATAGATCAACATGATTACGCTTACTGGCAAGACCAAAGTATGCTAGAATTCACCGCAGGAATGACAGAAGACATGCAGGCTTTGACACTCTGTGTTGAAGGTTTGCATGAAGTTGTTTCCTGTGTGGAGGGTCAAATATATGAAGCAGAATCTTCCAGAAGGGGTGAGCAAGTGCGTAGAAGATCTAGACCAAAGATCCATGGTAGATTCCGTGGCCTAGGCGAGGAAGAATGAGTATTTAGTTTTTCACTCTCCTTTTCCAATACATTGAGGATATTGTATGATTTAAGTATGGGGGAGGAAATATTTCCACCTTTTTTTCCAGTAAATTTTTATTTTTATCTTCTCCCTTCTTTTTATGCAATATTTTGTGTTGTTTTACCGATTCCCTCATTTTATTGAGCCCCAAATTTTTTTTCTTCGATTTAACACATAACTTGATTCACCCGAAGAGTATGTAGGTTTCTACCTTTTAATTCTTTTGAAACTTTCACAAGATTTGACAAAATCACTACCGTCTTGACACTCTACAACCCCAGGATTTAATAGACTAGTTAAAGTACCTATTATTCCGAAACCCAGAGCTTTAGTTTTTAAGTAATCCTGAGTAGTTTATCTAGCAATCAACACCATCTTAAACACAAACTATGCAGAAAGTCGATGAATATAAGTGGATGATCTCGGGTATTTATTTAGAAAATGTTATAGGAAATGCACCTATTACATTGGGCGATCATCATCCGATCGTTTAATCCAACGGATGTAAGCCCTACAAAGTAACATAAATTCCATTGTAGGTGGTTCAGAGGCGTCTGGTACTGAACTTGGTAGGGCAGACTACGGTTTGATCCCCCGCATCATGCAAATGGGTAAAAAGGGAAGGTTGCCACATTATTGTGCTAGAAACCATTGTGCTAAAAAAGATCATAACCACCAACCGACTATTCTGCTATGTACGTGTTAGGATAAAGGGCTTAATGTGATTGAGCTCGAATGAAAATGGGTAAAACAAGACAATTACTTGGGGTGAGCTATAATAGCATCTGCAACCAGTTTACGTAAGACGGGGTTGTCTAGTGTTGTTACCATGGTGCTGGAGTACAAATTAAGCTTTCTATTCTCTAACAAAAAAAACACCATGCAACCGCATACAAGTTGATTTAGATCATATGCTTGCACCTGGCCAATGTTCAAACAAACATCATACTGAGCACTTGCTTGAGGTCAAGCAAAGATTTAAGTATGGGGGAGTTTGATAACACATAAATATATTGCATGTTTAGCTTGATTTAACTAAATTATTTTCCATTTTTATTCTAAATTAAATCATTTTATAGTTGGTATTATTCCGGTATTTTTCTATTTTGCAGGTATCAAATTAATTATAAGAGAAAGAAGAAAAAGGAAGAAAAAGAAGAAAAAGGAAGAAAAAGAATGCTACAATAAAAAGTCAACAACAAGCCCAAGCCCAAAGCGTGCAAAGTCAACAAGCATGACGAATGGCATGGCTAGCTTGACGAACAGCATGCATTGACCAAGTAAGTGTCGAACGTCACTTATCCTTTTGACAGACGTCACATCTCCTATACTTTCGCCACGTCCCTAAAAGCTTGCAATGAATGTGCATTAACTGCTTCCACCAAGTCAGATGCGTGGAGATTCAGCAACCCTGTAATCTCTCCAAGAAATCCTCACGAACAGTTACTTGAGATGAATATAAATATCAGAACTCATGCACTGAAAGAGGATCACGCGGATACTTCCCTTTTATTCTTCGTATATTTCACAGAGCTACTACTAACCAGAATTATTTTTTCTCAGCTATTATTTTCCTTAGCTGATTTATTTTCCCACTATTGTGCCCCAATTTTTGCCCCTAAGATCCCTCATCACACTTTGTACATTTTGCACATAGCATTGGTCTCATGGTTATAAGATCGAAGCGCTTTAGCATTAGGGTTTCTCTCTCTAAATTGGGTTTGCTATCTTACTCAAAATTGATTCAACTGGCACTCTCATTTTTCTTGGCATTGAGATTAGGGTTTTGGATCTCAAGCAGCATAGATGTCTTTGCTATCAGGTTTCCTCAAGATACAAATTTTTTCATCAAGGTTCTTTCAAGGAACAAAAGTATTAGGGTTTAACTCAGCCGGAGATTGGGGATTTCGAGGAATTAGGTTTGTTGTATGGCTTTAAGGCTCTTATCTTCGCACAAGCTTGTTTCGGTTGATTTCTCCATCAATCATTTGTTCAAACTAAGACTTTATTTCCTGGACTTCTTTATCATCAAACTACAGGAATATTCTCTCTCCTCAGCATCAGGTTGCAATATTTCTTCAATGCTTAAGAATTAGAGTTTGCTTCTGTTATGCTTCAACTGGGGATCATTGGATTAAGGTTCGATCTTGTGATTATCTTGAGCTTCTCCTTCTTCAACATTGTGGACTTGTTTTGAATGATACAGTTTTTGGTTCTCATCAAATAATTGTTACTTCAATTGCAAGTTAACTTGGACTATTGAGAGAAATGACTAGTGATTTGGATTCGTTGAAACTTCTAATCGTGCTCAGAGTTAATATTGATTCAAGGGCTTATTAATTTCTTGACTTTGTTAACAGTTGATTCAAGATAGGGTACAAAGCTTATTTAGCTCATTTTATCAAAAGAAAGATGGTTGTTTCAAATACAAGATGCTAGAATTTATGGATTCAATTGAGATTAAGGTTCATTAACCAAGCACGCCATTTGAAGTCAACTGAGTTTCGACTTGTCATGAACACTTGAGTTACATTAAGGATCGATTTAAGATAAACATGTAATATAAGTTTTTAATGTGATTCAAGGATAAGTCATTTAACTTGCTTGAAGAACAAGATATATGCGAGAGATGTTACAGGGCTTGTGGATGATTTTCCTGGTTTTCTTGTACTCATAATATAAGTGATTCATCAATTGGCTTTTCTTAGAATTTAGATTATGTTTGAGATACAAAAAGAAGATTTTGAACTTAAAGTTAAAGAAAGGGGATCCCTCCCATTCAAAGGAAGATTAGGGTTTATATCCTATCATACTTGGGTTTATCAACGTTTTCAATGGGTATTCATTGGATAACCAAACGTGATGTAAGGATGGCATTATGAATTCATTAAGATCAAGTAGGGTTGGTTTTCTTATTGTTTTCCACACAAGATTATTGGGGATCAAGGTATTGGATCCATTCTCTCATAAAGGACAGAGGGTGATATTAGGGACCATTTGGTTCATGGTCATCAATTAAAGATTGGGCTTGTTTTATGGCTTATGATATAAGTCATTTGCTATGGAATTCCTTCAAGGAATTTGAATTTTGATCATGGAGTTTTACTTGGATTATTTCAAGAGAGGTATCATTTAAATTCAAGTTTTGATTTTTTTTTTTAAAACATCATCCAATTTCATTACAAATGCAAGCTACAGTGTCAATTCATCCAAAATTCCTAGATGTGTTTAGATGACATCAAAGGTTCTTAAATTCATGTTTGGTCAAGGGTTGATTACAACGGCAATTTGGAAGGTAATACTGTGAATACTGGAGGGAATTATCAGGGAGTCTTCCAAACATTACAAAATTCCAAGGTTATATTTCAATACATGTGATTTTACACTTCGTCACAATCCCTACATATTTACATAAAACCTACCAAGAAACTTAATGCTCTAACCTAATCTTCTATCCAAAACCTTCACGTTTCAATATCCTTCAAATCCTTGGCCATAACTCCATAATTTTCTATCTTCAAAATTGCCTCTTCAAGCTTCTAAAAAACCGTTTGTTCTCGTCTTCAAGACCTGGCCTACCAATTAATCAAATGCATAAAACCAGATTAGTTTCGCTACCAAAAATATAAAAATACTTTGAAATAGTTCATGCTGCCGAAACTAGATAATTCAAAAACATATCCAAAACTGTTAACAGAAACCAAAAGAACTGGATGTTTCTTGATCAATCAATCAATGGCAGCTCAAAGCTCTTCTTCCAGTAAATCACAAGTTTCCAAGAACGCTTCTCATGGTCGTTTCTTCGTATAGAGGGAATTTGTATGGGGAGCTGTTGCGGGTGATTTTGGGGAAGGAATGATGCATCTTGTAGATACCATCAAAACACGAATACAAAGTCAAGCTATTCTAAATGGTGTTGAGAACCAGAAAGGCATATTGCAGATGGTGCGGTATGTCTGGAAGGTTGATGGATTAAAAGGCTTTTATAGTGGTGTACTACCTGGTATTACTGGGTCTCTTGCGAATGGTGCAACATATTTTGGTTTCATAGAGTCAACTAAAAAGTGGATTGAGGATTCACATCCTAGCCTTGAGGGCCATTGGGCACATTTCATTGCTGGAGTTGTTAGAGATACACTTGGTTCTGTAATGTATGTTTAATGTGAAGTGATAAAGCAGCGCATGCAAGTTCAAGGCACAATTACATCCTGGACTTCTACTGCAATTAAGAATGGCATTGAAATAAAACCTGGTGCAGAAATATATGACTATTATAAAGGGATGTTCCATGCAGGCTGCTCAATATGGAGAACACAGGGCTTAAAGGGTTTAGTGCAGGAGTACCTTGATAGGCTACCGTTAAATTTTGAAAAGACTATTGACTGTTTGAATAGTGTTAATTCTACCAATCAGGTTAAAGATATAGACATGAATGAAAATACCATTTCTTTTGTGGAGGAGTCTGTTATGGAAAAGGTTCTCTAGAAGAGGAGTTTGAGGATGCGTAATATGCAAAGATCTTGGCAGGAATCTCCTGAAGGCAAGAAGATGCTGGAATTCCGGAAGTCTCTACCATCATTTAAGGAGAAGGAAGGTTTACTTCAAGCTATAGCATGTAATCAGATTTCTAAACCTCTCTAACCGCCTAATCTATACCCTCATATTCCCTAACAGAAATCTAGATCCAAGGGTTCAAATCAATTCACTCCTAACCAACCCTCTAACTGCCATAACCAACTATAACAAACCGGTAACCGACTTCCTAACAAAAAAACAACAGAAAAGGGGGGAGGGAGTTCAGAATTCACATGGACAGTACAAAAATCCAGAAAAAAGATTGAAGAAGGGGATTCACCAGAAAAACTCACCGAGAATCTGTAACAACATCAAAAAAATTTCTCTGCACTCTCAGCTCCTCTCACCTGCATTCTTCATTCTCCTGGGAAGAATCACCGAAAAACACCAGAAAAAATCTCTCTCTCTCTCTCTCTCTGTAATTCCTCGCCATTCTTCACCAATTCTCTAATCTCCATCTTCATCAATTCTGCATAACCGTGCTTCATTCACCATCTCTCAAGGCTCTAACAATTTGTACTCGTCAATCACTTCCTGAAAATCTCCTCAACATATCCAACCTTCAATCATCATCATTAACGTCCATTAATGCATCAACAACAAAAAACATCACAAGAACACAAGAAGCACACCAACAACGCACATTCTTCTGCAAATCGCTACAACACCATAATTCACGACAAATGCAGAGTAGTGAATCTGAGAAGAGGTAGAAGAAGAATGAACTAGAGATCGTGGATGCTTACCAGAGTTTCTCACTACCGTCATCAGAGCATCTCCGATCGGTAAACTTTGAAACTTTTATCTCTTTTCATTCTTCATATCACAATGTAGAATCTGTGAATCTGTTGGCTCGAGGACAATTTGAAACCGAAGTAAGGTGTGATGAGATATCTATGTGACACGAACACGACCACGGAGATCTGAGTCGATAACAGGGAAGATTAGTTGAAGCAACATTTGAGTGATACGGCGGTGAAGTAAGATACATAAATGGTGGTGCAAGGTGGTTTCATCGAAGAAGAGAGTTGGAATATCGGGCGACACAATTCCTATTCAAAGAAGAATCATGTCTAGATTGGCGGAAGGCAGGATGAAATAGAAAGCTGAGACAGAGGGATGGGTCTTTTATGGCGATGATGGTTATGAAGAGACGAAGAAGAGATGAGGAGTAAGAGTTTGCCGCCGTGAAATTCGAGAGAGGGAGAAGAAACACTTGTGCTCTGTAAAGTTGAAGAGTCACTACACGAAACCCTAAATTCCATGTATTCCCTTTTCAATTTCTTCGTTTTTTTATTTCTTTTTTTTTTGTTATTGAAATAGGTAAAACAAAAAAAATGGTTATTTTTTATTGTGTGGACCGAAATCCTATCTCCCTAGGCCCATCACAATCTTTTTTTTAGAACCTAATGCTAAGAGATTAACATAAAAAATTTGTCCATGTATCTTTTTGGTGGGTCTTAGCTCCATTGGCTCTTTCCATAAGCCCACCCACATTTTTTTGGCAGCCTGATTGCTTGTAACAAAAAAAAGTTGATTGGATCCTGATTTAGGTGGGCCTAGCGTCCAAATTGCTTCTACATTCTTGGATTTTTGGCTTTCACCCCCTAAGTTTATTCTTTTAGTAATTTCTTTTAAATAATTTTGTGAATTGTTTAGATTTGTATGAACTCTTTCTTCACATGATAAAAAATAATAATAAAATCAATAAAATTATTAGATTTTTTATTTGATTTTAGGAATTAAATCAGGATTATCCGATTATTTGAGATTTGTAATTCACTTTTTCTTTTGGAGATATGAGTCTTATATAGGTTTAGTGTGTGTCATGTGGACATGCTTGTTTCCGATTGTGATTTATTTTCACATCGACGAAGTTTCGACATCTATTCTAAATATTCGATCTCTGACTGTTTGTTTGTTGATGTTAGCTCGCGCGAAGTATCTCGGATTTCTTTACCTTGGTTCTACTTTTTGAGGACATCATTTTTCGTTTGGTATTATACTGCTTCCAAGTTTTATTTCCGCATTTCTCGATTTTTCTAGATATCATGAGAAGTAGGAAATAAAGAGTGTGCGCTCGAAGTCGCTGTTTAAAGACCTGTAGCAGGCATTCCGCACTTCATTTCTATTATGTGTTGTGCTTGTGTTTTCTTCCTTTCTTGTTGATCAATAAGTCACTCAATTTAGCAATTGAGATCACGACTTCGCTCTCAATGCATGCTCCTATAGGATTTTATGGATTTCCTTTATTTCTTATTGATCGATAAGTCACTCAATTTAGAAATTGAGATCAAGACTTCGCTCTCAGTGCATGTTCCCTATAGGATAGTTTTGTTAGACTTTCTTTGGCATGCTAACTTAGATAGGATCCCTCATTGTATGATAACATTAGGTTAGAGATAGGTTAGTCTCCCTTAGATATTTCTTCCTGTTTTTGCATAATTACACTTAAAACTAAAACTTTTTTCTTGGCAAATATATAACAAATGCTAATCATACAAAAATTCTTTTCATGGTAACAAGATACCAACCAATCCATTTCTTTACACCATTCGGCTTTTCTCTTCTAAGAGCATGTTAGCTCCTTTCCACTACAGGTCATAAGTCTCCAAAGGTCGAGCAGCGGTGGAATGATCAAATGAAACATTTTTCATTTAAAAAATACAAACAAACAAACTATATGAGCCGAACTACGGTAGCTCTGATTCCTCAAAAAGGATACGTAGGCATTGGGGTAGGTCCCAAGCGAGTACAATGTTATTTTCCTTACATTCTTTCTCCTTTATTTGCATGCATTCTCTCTTAGTTTATAACCCTTAATCATTAGATTGAACACACCCTTTGATTAGAATAATGATAGTGGATCCCGTAGAGTACTATGGACGTGTGGGGTGCTAATACCTTCCCCTCGCGTAATTGACTCCCTTACCCAATATCTCGGTTGCAAGACCTTGATTTCCCCTTTAGGTTTTCCTCGATGATTTTCCTTTCCCTTTCATATGGGATAAATAAATACTCGGTGGCGACTTCATTGATTTTACCACTACAGAAAAATGGTGACTTCACTGGGGATTAGATGTCGACCAATTGCTGGTCCATCCCGTGAGTCACTCCTAGCTCCCATTTTTCTTTTCTTAGGGTGTTTATCATTATGCTTTTATGGGTTATTCATTTGTATATGTTTGAGCATATGTTTGCATTGCATCTTTAACGTTATTTGTCATATTGTTGTTGTGTTGGTTTCTCTGTTTCTTGATGGGTGGGATGTTACTATGAGGTAAAAGGCCCAATACCCAGGCCAAGTGGAAACAATAGGAAAACTAGGAATAGAGTGGAACATGACCGGCTAGTTGACTTAGGTTTCACTATGCCGCCATGTCGTCCATGCTCAGATGAGGTACAAATGAGGGGCTATCATTTTCATGTAGGTGATATGGCGATGGTTTTTCAAGAGTACCCTCAATTCTAAGTTACCATTGACCTTATCATGACCTAGTCTTTACCCGTGAGTGGGGAGGGAATAATATTTACAGGTACAGATGGTGACTATACATGTTCCGTTGGTGACTCTGATTATATTGATGACTTTGATCCTTGGTATTCTGAATTGGTCCGGACCTTTGATCTTATTACATATGACAGTGATTCTGTTATCAGTTCAGCAGCTATCTAGCACCGCAGATGCTTTGATCCCATATGTTTGCATACATAGCATGTTAATATAATTATCAGCATACATTTTTTGTTTCCAAACATTACTTCCTTGATTCCAATTGTTAAGACGAAAAATAAACATAAAAAATAATATAGAATAAATATATGAAAAATGAATATATAATAACATTGTGGCTTAATAACTGGAATCAAAGCGTAGCAACTTTTGGAAAAAAAAGTATGGCATTTGCATTACATATCATGTATCATGTCACATTTGACTATGCATCTCAGGAGTTCCACAGAAGTCTTACTCAAGGTCCTTTGGTCTTCATAATCAAGTTGCCTCATCAGTACAACACTCGTGTTAAGGGAAGATGGAAAACATTAAGCGAGAGATCTTTGAACTCGGCAAAGAAGTAACTACTTTGAAGGCTGATATGGAATATCTAACTGCTTTGGTTAAAACTTTGGTTGCCGCCCAAGTCAATCCTTCTAGGAAGGAAGAATAGATGGCAAAACTCTTCACAGAAATTCTGAAATCATTCTTTCATGAGAAGGTGATAGTCAACGCACCCGGTGAGTTCCCAGAAGAAGTGAATATGTGAGTGCTCCTAGAAGAGATGTCCGAAAGGAATGTGTATCTGAAGACAGTGGCACAACTAGTAGTGTGAAAAAGTTTGATAATAATTTTTCTAAGAAGAGAACCATAAGAATAAACAATCAGCATCATAATCAGCATGTTCCTTCTGTCATCCATGTGTTCAATTTACTTCTTGTTGCTCCAGTTTTTCAACAGAATCAACAAGTTTCTGATTAGAAGAAAGCTCAGTTTGATCCAATTCCAATGACTTATGCAGATTTATTTCCTATCCTAATGGAGAAGAATTTGGTTCAAACCCGACCTCCACCGAAGATTCCTGAGAAGATACCTTGGTACTACAAAGCTGATTTGACTTGTGTCTTTAATCAGGGAGCCCCTTGGCATAGTATTGAATAATGTTATCCATTGAAAGCTGAAGTCCATAAATTTGTCAGAAGTGGTATCTTGTCACTTGAGGGTATTTGTCTCGAGGTTCAAGTCAAGTCTTTGTCGAAGAATAAACGTGATTGAAGAATGCCCTGGATTTTAAGGATGATTAGCTTTCTCATGTTTACTAGAAATTTTACTGATTTCTCATTTGTAATTCTTCTTGTTAATCATTGTACTATTAGCATAAAATAACTTGTTTACATTTGAATGATTATCTTAA